TGGATGTGCTAGTCTCTACTACGCCGTCGCTATGCATTCCCTTAAGCGAGAAGCCACGAAACAAAGTCAACAGGGTGTACTGCATCATGGCGAGGTACCTGCCTTTCCAATAAAACAAATAAACAAATAACAACAAATTCCCTGAACAGCCTGAGGCTATGGGTCACAAAAATGCGTTCTTGGATTAAAAATTTGAAGATAACTTCCCATTCTTTCATATGAAAGGGAATATGAGGATAGAGATCTTCTAAAAAAATCACAAACTCCGCTCTTGAGAAAGCAGAACGCGTGGGTCCAGGTGGCAAATGACAACGGTTAGAGGCTGAAATGTGTGGTGGGGTCTGAGGCCGTGTATTTTATAGTTAAACTTGTAAATGTACTTTCATTGTTTCAAGCACGGTCTGCTTAACCTTTTGCTCTTTTGGTGGCACTTGAGTTAACAAAGATTCATTTATGAAGAAATTACAATTTTAGACAAGAGCTGTTCATGACCCTAGAAATGTGTTTCACGGAAGGTAGGTAGTTGAAGGAACTGGGCCCAGATAAAGTCCCCTGTTCAGAGACACTTTTTGGACAATTACAGATATTTCATCTCCCTTCCCCTGAGTTTGAAATCAGAGCAGTGACACCTCTCGGATCATTTCAGAAGTTGAAAGGCATTAAAATTTGCAGGCTTTTTAAATTCACATTACTTCAAAAATCCCTACTTTTATTATTGACAGATGTATCTATTTTTATTGAAAAGTCAGATTTACAGAGAGGAGAGACAAAGATCTTCCATACGCTGATTCATTCTCCAAGTGGCTACAACAGCCAGAGCTGAGCTGATCTGAAGCTAGGAGCCAGGAGCTTCTCCAGGTCTCCTACAAGGGTGCAGGGTCCCAAGGCTTTGGAACGTCCTCTGCTGCTTTCGTAGGCCATAAGTTGGAAGCTGGATGGAAAGTAGAGCTGTTGGGATACAAACCAGCGCCCATGGGGGATCCTGGCGATATAAGGCGAGGACTTTAGCCACTAGGCTACCGTGCCGGGCCCTATTGCTATTTTTATTCCTGGTCACTGCTAAAGGTCAAAAATGTTGTTTTTCATGAAATATCTGTGAAATGAACCAGCTTCGGGTCAGTGTCATGTGATTGCTGCTTTCCTCAGATCTTGACCCCAAAACTTGTACAGGGATAGTGTTAGTGATAAGGGTAGCACATCTGACACAAACCTAGCACCTTTCCCAGCCCCTGGTACATGATTGGACTCCAATAAAATACAGCAATGTAGTAGCCACACAGAAGAGGAGACGAGCATTAGTAATGAGGCCATAGGATTGCATTTGTTATCTGGCAAAACATTTATGCTGCGTGTTCATTTTTTATGTTTATGTTTTGAAAAATCTGTTAACTTCTCTTTTTGAGTGGTTGAGTGACAAGGAAAAAGGGAGAAGCAGAGACACAGGTCTTCCATCCCCAGGGACTGCAACAGCCAGAACTAGGAAGTTCATGCTGGCCTCACACATGGGTGGCAGAGACCCAAGCACTTGAGGAATCTTGTATTGCAGTCTCATGCAGACTTGCAGGAAGCTGGATATGAAGCGGAGCCATTGGGACTCCATGCCGACAGCAACAGTGATGGTTTAACATGCCGCACCACAAGGCCGGCCTTGCATTGTGTTTTTGAAACAAAAAGAAATGGGAGCGTTTGCCTCTATTTTGCCAGCATTGTGACAGCAGCCCCCTGCTGCCTGCTTTTCCTTGAATCAGTCTTGTCACTGAATCACCCATTAGTCTCAGAGCCACCCAAATTGGCTTTGTGAAATAGACCAGATGAAAGCCCTCTAATGATTTCCTTAGCTTGTAGGCACCAGTTCTCTGTGGCCTATTGGATCTGGGACATTCTGGCTGTTGCACACCTCTTTGAACTCCTCTGCAACCTTTCTCTTCTCTTGCCCACAACTTCGTTTCTGTTTCTTAAACTGGCCTCCCGGTTGTGTCTTGTGTTGTTTAACCATTTCATCCACTTAAAATAGTCATTCCCTATGGCTTCCCTAATCAGATCTCAGATCGAATGCCAGCCACCACCTCAGTCCCTTCCTCCACCCCTCCTTCTGTTATTGAGTCATTCTCATCTACTTTCTTCATAACTCTTGACTATTTGACACTATTGATTACTCATATTATTGACTTTCCACCATGAAAATCCAAATGTCACGAGGGCAGGCATCTTCTCTTTTTGATTCTTCTGCTCCTAGCCCTTCAGTGCACATGAACAAGAATTAGTCAATAAAGAGTAAGGGAAAATGCAAAAGGACAAATCCCAAAATAGGAATAGTGATCATCGCCAGGAGGAGGGTTTTGGGTGATTTCAATAGATGGCTGTTACCATTCATTTGTATTCCCTTTACTTTCTGCAAAGATAACTTTCTAATTAGATCACTCTGGCAGGCTTAAGGAAGTAACCCTGTGGATTGTAGGTGGTTGCTGAGAGTGGGCTGTCTGTGAAACCCAGTGCTGTGCAACGGATGCTTAACCCACACTGGCTGATTCCACTGACTTCTGTATTCTAAGGGGAGCCCCCTAAAAGGTTCAGTAGCAGGTTGCCCACCCACATCTTGGAGGAGGAAGGCATCTGACTGGCAGCATGGCGCAGACGCACAGGGCCTTGTCCTCAGGTTTCTGACCGTAAGCCCCAGTTGTATGCTCTTCCGTGGCCACCACAGAAAGCCCATTCTAAACAACAGCACGCGGGGCACTAAGGTGCAGTTTGCTCCAGTACACACTGCTTTCTCCAGAGAGAATGTGGGGCCTTGGGTTCCCTGTGATAAATGAGGCACTGGCTGAGCTGTGTCTGCCTCTTTCCTCTAGCAAAAAAAAAACACCCACAAGACAGTGTTTCCTTTCCAAGTTGTTTCACAGTGACAGTCACTTGGCTTCTAATGATTCTATTGATGAGGGATCTTTCTATTTTTGGAAGCGGAGAGGCATGCTTACTATGCCTGTCAAGCTGGAAGAGTTACTTCTGTTGGTTTGTTTTTTCCACCTGTTAAAGGCTCACCTGGTGAAGGATGTGCCCATCGTTTCAGTGAGGTAGAGCACGTCTTGGCTCTGCTGAATGACATCAAGGAAAGCAGGTCAGCTCTAGCTGTGATGCCGGGCGGTTAACGTCCTAGCTCGTTTGTGAAGTCCGCAAGTCGTGCCTGAACACTGGTGCTCCATTCCAGGAATCTTGGCAGATGAATGAGGCAGAAGAGGGGAGGGAGGACTCAAAGAGCAGAAAATTTAACTGTTAATAGCTCTGAATCTTAGCAAAACTCACCTTCAACATCCCAATCGTAATTCTTGCATATGGATTTGGAATATCTTAATAGAATTAGCACCAGCGCCTAAATATTAAGTGCACTCATATCTTAAATCTGACCAACGTACATGCTTTCCAAATAGAGGGAAAGGCAGCTCGGTGGAAAAGGAGGAAAACTTGGTGTGTATGTAACCAATGCCAGGTAATTCGGAGAGCCAGCATGCTTTCCCTAGTGCCCTGCAAGCACCGTCCTGTATGACACATTTGTCCCTGACACTCCTGACGATCTCTGTTCAGAACCCCTGCTGGTCTGGAGTAGCAGTCCAGTTTAATCTATATAGGACCAGTTAGTGCTGGTTTCCATACGCAAATAGACACTGTCAAAATGCTTACCATGTTGTGCGATCGCGTCTGTCTGTCTGTGTAATCCCCCACGCATGTAGCTGAGTAGGAAAGAGCTGTTTTTCTACAAGGTCTCTTCCCTCCCCCAAAAATCTCTGGCTTGCAGAGTTGCTTGATTTTCTTTTTTGTTTGTTGTGCTTTGTTTTGTTTTTTTTTTCCCCCCAGCCCCTTAACTCACCGGTGACCTTTCACACTTCATAAAAACACGATCCGCCCGACAAAACCATCTCGGGCCACTGTGCACGAGACGAGCAAAGTCAGTTCTCAACACAAGTTCGCTTGCTCTGAGAGTTGGGACCTGGCCCCCAGAAGAAAGAGAAAATAAGAAAACACACTAAAAAAGCAGAGCAAGTGTTGCTTCGGGGGAGATGCCAAGGAGTGGGACGGGTCCCAGAGACACTGGGCAGCATAAGGAGGCCGCCTGCTCAGCTGAAAGACCCAGCAGTAGGGCCAGCCATTGTCAAGCCCCTCTGCCAGATGAACAGGGACCCTTCTCTGGTCACAATAGCCATTCATGCTGAGCGGCCTCATTAAATATTCAGCCTGTGCTTCCGGCAGCTCATTAGGGCCGCAGTGAGCAGTGACGTGGAGGCTGGCGAGCCGAGGCCCGGCCAGCATCAGGAGGCAGAGGCTGAGCGAGCTGCTGATGGCTTTTCTGTTCACTGCCTGTCCTGTGATGTCCAGTGTATGCTCCCTGCTTTGCCTCAAGTCCAGGTAAAAAGAAAACCAGACAGCCCAGTAGATGACACCCCAATTCCTTCCCTAGGACTTGGATGGCCAAGGCTTCTGATTCTGTGTGCTCCCCCCTGCTCCCACCCTCTCTGGCAGCCCTCTGACCCCTTTTAAAGCTCTGTCTGAGGCTTGGGGGCTGGGGGGCGGGCGCTTTGCTAAGCACAGACAATGTGGTGCTATTGTGTGCCTGGATTGTTGAAGGACTGCATTTGGAACGGTTCGAGGTGTGATTCTGAGCTTGGTCCTAGGGGGTTAGGAGAGCAAAGTATTCCTCCGTGAAACAAGCAGTTTGGAAATGTTGTGGAGGGCCTGGGGGAGCTCGGTGTGTGCAGCAGCTTCGCTGTGTGTCTGCCTGAGCTCCCCCCCCCCCGCCACCCGAGCAGCCCCACAGTCAGCCTTTCCCGCCTCCCTTGTGGGTCGGATGTGCTCTGCCTCCCTCGTCACCTCCCTGGGAGTTTGCCCTCAGCGCTGTGTGGCATGCAAAGCTGGGAAAAGCTGCAAAAGCAGCCCTGGAAAATGAAGAACTCGGACAAGTGTGTTTCTCTGGCCTCACTTCTTGACATGTTTTTCTCTTTCCCACACAGAAAATGTTTCCAGACAGCTCATTTCTACGTGGAAGACAGCAGCTCACCACGGGTAGTCCCCAACGAGAGTATCCCTATCATTGCCATTCCGGGTAAGTGGCACTCACTGCTGTCCTCCTGGGCTGCTTGTGTTGGCTGCTTCTGTGGGAGAGCCACGACGACACTGCGTTGTAGACAGTCACTCACTGCATGTAACCGAAGGAAACCTTTGCTCCTCAGAGATCCTCAAAATAGTACAGTCCTCCTAAAGAGATAAATATCCGTGAGTCAGACTAGTACAGAAGCTCATAGGGGAACGTAGGAGAAAAAGGGGGAGGGGGACCATAAAAAATAAATATTTCTGATCGACTTGGATTAAATTTCAACTGAATTGGCAATTGTGCTTAAGTTTTTAAGATCTCAGTTGTAATACTTCTTTTTGAAAGAGTTTTCTAAAATTTTCTACTCTAAAAGTTGGAATGTTGGAAATTCTGGTTTGTGGGGAGTTGATGTGAAAGTGCAAAGATCCCTTATTGGTCCAGAGTGCTTCATTTGTCCCGTGGTGAGAAGACAGATGCTGGCTTCGTGGTCCAGCCTGGGAATGGTGGAGTAAGCTGCAGTGAAGCCTAGCCCTCTGCATACTCATTTAGAAGTTCAGCTGTGGGTTACTTGGAGTGGGACATGGGATCTGAAGAGTCACCCACCATTTTTATCTGACATTCCTTACCTTTTGCTGGATTTGAACATTCCGAAACCTCTGAGTTTGATTATGTTTTTGCTAATAAACACCTTCACACATGTCTTCTACCTCTCTCTCTCCTTGGTCAAGTTACTTTGTAAATGTCTGCACCCCTGTATTGTAATGCCCTCTCCACACCCATGACACCCTCCACCTCCTTGCTAATGTGTATTCTTCTCCAGAACACTTCTCATCAGCTCGTACACAACTTCTAATTTTACTTGTTGGCAGTCTCACCCGACTCGGATGAGAGCTGTGTAAGGTCAATGGCTGTGTCCTCAGTGCTAACACTTAGCATGGGATGTACTTATTAACTAACTGTCGAATGAATGGATGGAGTCAACGAGTGTTCCCCAAAAGATTGTTAAAGCTCGGAGCTGGGACAAACAGTCATTTCCCTTGGAAACAAGAGGCATGCTTCTATTGTTTGTAGACTGTCACTAGGGGTGGCTATGGCTGAGGGCTTAATTGGCTCTTTTTATGTTTATAGATATCAAGCCCTTAGAAATTGTTGAGTTTGTCCCCATCCTATTTGTTCTGCTCAGCTTCCCTCCCTGTCACATGCAAACCAGAAGGATAACAGAGAAGTCTCCACTCAAGTTCCTACTGGCTCATTTTTTGGCTGTTAAAATGTTTCCTATAGAGCTGTTACATTAGGCTTGTATGGATGGGGGTGGAAATTGTACTCTTACCCTAGAAGAGGAGCAGTTTACCAGCATGAGTGTTCTGGGTCTTGCACGGGATAAATGGTTTGATTGAATTTCCTGGATTCCTATACCTGAATTCTGCGTTTCCTCCTGCAAAGCAGCTAGGGCTCCCTTTGCCTCTGTCCAACACCATGTTGGATAGTAGTGCAGTCAAAACCCATTTTGAAAAGGTTGAGTGCTCAAAGTGGCGTACTTTGTTAGGATTCTCCAAGTTTTCATTTTCTCTGGCCACTGGATTCGAGATCAAAATCCTGGGTTTTCACAGTGTGCCTGCCATTCTTGCCGCTCAGGCGACGCTTTGTGTGAGAGCACTGTGGGAACCCTAAGTTAGGGCAGAAGTCTAGGATGTTCTAACTTCCTCTTCCAAATCCTGGTGGTGGTAATCCCAGCAGCTGGAGACAGCAAGTGTTTTCATGCTTCTGATGTTAAATCTTCCCTAACTCAGACCTGCAACCCCTGGTGCGGGACTCACCTCCGCACTGTTCTTTGAAGTGACCATAAACACTTCCAGTTCACTGGAGTCTACTACAGATGCATCCATTGTGTCTGCCTTGCCACTGAGTAGGAGTCCTAAAACCAGCCGTTGTTCTCCATTTCCCAGCTACCTATGCACTTATCAAGTGAGACACTCGTAACCCACAAAGAATTTTTTACATGTGTCTTTTCCTCCTTTTTGACTTTGGGATCCTCCTAATTCACACTGACTGGGAATATAAGTGTATGGAGGAAAAATGTTTTCAGTGAAGTCTAGGATACTTTTTTGATGAGTTGTGACACATTGAGTTACTCAAAATAATGTAAGCTAGTGAGCAGCTATAAAAGGTCTTACCCAGGGAAGCCAGGCTGAGTCTTGGTTCTACCTTAGCTTTTCCTACTAGTAGTACCCCCAGAAAGATGAGCTTAGCACGCCCTAAACTAGGAAGGAGTCATCCTCAGTGACCCTGCCTTGAAGAACTTTCAGCATGAACACAGTTTTTGTTTTATGTTTCTTAAACCTCACAATCATTTTTAGCAGTTGTAACTGTCAAATAGTTTCCTTAATGAATCATTTTCAGCCGTACATTACTCTGTTTACTCTCACAGTTTCTTGTAGATAGCAGTGCAATCATGTCTTGCATGATGAAATTCAATGTGAGGAAAATAACTTTTAATAAATTAAGTTTGTGGTTTGATCAAGTTAAATGAACTCTATTAGAGCTTTCACTTGAACTTTTCTTGGATGGAATCACCCCCATAGGATCGTGTTATCTCCAGATTGATCTAATTGTCCTTAGTCCTAAATAAAGAGATTTAGAGAGCTCCTGCCGGGTAATTTCCCACTCAATCTCAAATTATATTTTAATCCTTGCTCAAAAACCTAATAATAAGAACACTGGGTCTTGGATTTAGGAACCTACTTTACAGATCGCTTTAGCTCTTCATTTTCAACAACTGGCATTTTTGGAAAGATATTTCCAGGAGCAGATGCTTAGCCTAGTGGTTAAGGCTTTTTTTTACATTCGCACCAGGGCCTTTATTCAGTTCCTGGCTCCTGCTCTGGCTTTCTTTTTCCACTAATGTCAACCCTGGGAGACAACACCCGTGGCTCATCTTCCTGCCACCCACATGGTAGACAAGATGGCATCCTTGTCCAGTTCCTGGGTCCAGCCCTGGCTCGGTTGTTGCAGGTGTTTGGGAAGTAAGTTACTAGATGAGATGTGCACATTTTTTCTCTCTCTCTATGCCTTTCCAATTAAAAAGGTAGACAATGGGGCGGGGGGTAGGAAGCCCTGTATTTGTTAAAAATGTATGGAATGAAATGAGATTGAAAATTTTAGTACCAAACTTGTAAAAACAGCAGCAGGATCCTTATTTGGGAACACCAAATATACACTGTTCCCACATTTTACCCTTAGCCTTTCTTTTAGTATTGAGTGTACCAAGTGCTGTATTGATTTTTGCTACCATCCTATAGACATATTCACAGTTGATATCCCCATTTTATTGGTGAGGAAACCGAGGCTCAGGGACAGTATTTAATTTACCCAAGGCCCCTGTAGCTAATATTGTGACCTTCTCTCTGACTTGAAGGCACTTGAAATGGCTCTCAGCTCCTGGCGTGCTACTCTGACAGTTTTGGTCCCCAGACTTCATGTTCTGTTTTTGAGTTCTCTGTCTTTACTTTTTTCTTTCACCAGCAATGACCATCTGTTACTCCAGTCACATCTTCCTAAAGGGATTTCCTTGGCCCCAATTTCTGCCCTAGTAAAAAAAAAAAAAAGTTACCTCTCAATTCTGTTACAGCCAGATATTTTTGTTCTCTTCCTTCTTGAGAGGCAAAGCTCACTCAACAATACTTCCAGTTCCTCTTGTGAAAAAGGTCTGTGTGCATGGCATGTGTAGGCAGTTCACACGTTAAGTAAGACACAAATACAAAGGAATGCGCAGTCGGCACCTTTTAGATGATTCATCTGTGGTTAAAATTCTTAAGGACACAAGCCTGGTCTTTAAATCCCAGAGCATACATGAGATCAGTTGACTCATGAGAGGCTTATAGAAGAGTCAAATGAGTAGAGAGAGCTTTGCCGACGGTGTGATGTCCCTCCCTTGGAGAGAGCAGCTTCTAGGACCAGTTTGAAGGGTTTCAAGTTCCTGGGTTTACTAATCCTAACTGAAATCTGGGAACTTGGGCTCCAGGACGTGTGTCCTTTGGCTAAAGAAAGCAGAAGCAGTGCTTTGAAAAGGAAGATGGTCGCCCCATGCCTCCCCACTTCACACATGTGTAAGATGTATATAGAGACCGTGTATGCCATGGCCAGGGCTACTTAAGTCACATCTGGAAGAAAAAAAAAAACTCAACATGCAAGACTATCTGGCATAAAAGAAGTGCCTTTGAGATTACTTTTCAATCACTATACGAAATGGCATTAGTTCTTGCACTAGGAAAATGTTGAATTGTAGTACTTAAATCATCACTTGATATCCAGGGAAGGCAAGGGACCCGGGTAGAGGTGGCGACATCAGTAAAACTTGTGTCCTCTGCAGGAAAATGAAAGAATCTTTGATTCTTAATACTTTCCACTAATGATTTTTCAAAATCATATTCCATGTTTCTGGTTCCCCACTGTGAGGAATAAGCATAACCGAATGCAGTAACAATGTGGTCACCTCTGGGTATTCTTTTTTTCAGTGATAATTAAGCCAGCAGGGCTTAACGGGGCAGGTCATCCATCAGGACCAATGGGCAGCTCTCTGGATGGGTGAAAGAGACAGAGTGTCCAGTCACTTAGACTAGGGTCAAGCCTGGTTATAAAGTTTAAGGAGGAGAATACCTGACAGGCCAGGTAAAGAGATCTGAGTGCTGACAGTCAGAAAACAGAGTTTGAGCCCTTCATCTCCCTGTGGCTTCTCCTGAGGATGTCCCATAGGAAGATAGAAACTAGCCCGTGGATGTGGAAGGGGCCTAACAAAAACAAAGCATCAGTCAGTGGCAGCAGCCTCGGAAGCATTCCTTGATTTTCGTTTGAAATGACAAACGTGTAGGGCCGATGTAGTGGTGCAGCTAGTGAAACTTCTGCCTTGGTGTTGGCATCCCAGGTGGGCACCGGTCTGTGTCCTGGCTATTCCACTTCTAATCCAGCTCCCTGTTACTGACCTGGGAAAAGCAGCTGAAGATGGTTCAAGTGCA